AAAGAGATAAAGCTCAGAATTCAAGTTTACTGAAGTGGCTGGAATTTGTGAAGACACAGCAAGAAGACTACTGGGCAGAAAAGAAAATCCAGAAATCTGCATTGAGGTCTCCTTGAATCTTTGGCTAAATATTAAATTGCTTAGGCACAAAGCAGGACTCCATGAAGCCTGGCAAAGAACAACTAACAGGGAAAGAGAAAGTTCCAGTACAAGAAAATTTCCAACTCCAAAAGCTCAAAAATGGAAGATTTTTTAAGCTCCGAATATTCAGTGTGGATTTACCTGGTGGAGCATTCCAAATATAAAATAGAAGTACCAAAATACTACATATTGGGATAGAACTAATCTAGCACCAGAGGAAAGTCTACTCTAGTCCAGTCCTAACAAATAAACCTTAAAAATATATACCTTGAAAGGATCAAATTTATCTACTAGTAAGTTTATTGCCGTAACAAAACACAACATCGCTTTCTGGTAGGCAGCAGAATCCAGGTGCTCATCAACACAGCATCAGTAATAGGTAACACACAGTCAAAATTTACTAGACACTTAGAGAGGCAGGAAGACTTGACTCATAAGAAAGAGAAAACCAGTCAATATATACAAAGCCAGAAATGACAAAAATAATGGAATTAGCAAAATCTTTTAAAGAGCTGTTAAAAGTATGTTTAAGAGAAACTACTTCCACTTATAGTAGCTGAGGCTAGATGATTCTCCATTGCAGAAAACAAATTTAAAACTGGACAATGTTATTTTAAACAAATATTTCAGTTCACTTGAAAATGGCCAGTGATAAGCAACAACTTGATTAAGTGTTTAATCATGAAAAACTGCTAGTGCAGGAGGTACCAACAATGATTTGTGCCCTTTCTGCCTAAGAATGTTCCCATCCCTCCAAGTGTGGGCAATAAAAACAACTTAGCTTTATTGGCTAGAGGAGAAAGGCTGGGGAGTGAGGTGTCCATATGGGCTTTGAAAAGCTCTGACACATTCATGCATGCAAAGAAACAAGAAAGTATGACTCATACACAGGGGAGAAAAACAGAAATTGTTCCAAAAGGAGCCCATACTGTGGACCTTCTAGACAATGACTTTAAATAAACTGTCTAAAATAAGTCCAAACAGGAAGAGGAAACCATGTCTGAAGAACTAAATAAGACACAAATAAAAGAAAAGACATTCTGTGTTCATGAATTGGAATACTTAATATTTTTATTATTTGTTTTTTTATTGAAGGATAGTCGATTTACAATATTGTGTTAATTTTAGGTGTATAGCATAGTGACTTGTATATATACTCCTTTTCATCATTATAGGCCATTACAAGGTATTGAATATTGTTCCCTGTGCTATACAGTTGGATATTGTTGCATAGGCACATGAAAAAATGCTCAATATCACTAATTATCAGAGAAATGCAAATCAAAACTACAGTGAGGTATCACCTCACACCAGTCAGAATGCCCATCATTCAAAAATACACAAATGACAAATGCTGGAGAGGCTGTGGAGAAAGGGGAACCCTCCTACACTGCTGGTGGGAATGCAGTTTGGTGCAGCCACTGTGGAAAACAGTATAGAGATTCCTCAAAAGACTAGGAATAGACGTACCATATGACCCAGGAATCCCACTCCTGGGCATACATCCAGAAGGAACCCTACTTCAAAATGACACCTGCACCCCAATGTTCATAGCAGCACTATTTACAATAGCCAAGACATGGAAACAGCTTAAATGTCCATCAACAGATGACTGGGTAAAGAAGAAGTGGTATATTTATACAATGAAATACTATTCTGCCATAAAAACCGACAACATAAAGCCATTTGCGGCAACATGGATGTTCCTGGAGAATGTCATTCTAAGTGAAGTAAGCCAGAAAGAGAAAGAAAAATACCATATGCAATCGCTCATATGTGGAATCTAAAAAACAAACAAACAAACAAACATAAATACAAAACAGAAATAGACTCACAGACATAGAATACAAACTTGTGG